AACCCATAATTTTATCAAAAACAAGTATTGTGTCAAAATTTCTCTGCCTCTCTCTCTTTTAATATAAACTTGGTTTGTGTGATATTTGTATTAATGCCAGTAAAATGTAATAAATAATTAAAAATCGAATGTTAAAATAAGCGAAATGAAAAAAATAGAAAATATAATCAACCTTGTATTATTTTATTTTTATGTTAATTACAAGGATTTGAAATAATAAATTTTACCAAAATTTTATCCTTTCCCAAAAAAAATTAATTATAATTAAGTATATAATATTAGAAATATTGATCGCTAAATTATTCTCTATTCTAAACTTATAACAATTATAAATTTTCGATCTTACTCATATAGAATGTCATATTAATTTCTGTTTATTAACTGAAAATTTAACACTACATCATATTCTAACTTAACAACCATATCATTAAGAGAACATACTTCAAAACTGACAATTAGGGCATATGACAGTTGTAAGCAAATAAATAATTTATTCTCACTTATATTGTCAAAGAAAATGTCGATGTAATTTCATAAATATTTAATTAACACGCGTTATTTTCTTAATTAACCCAATTTCCTGATTGTATAATAAAATTTTAATAAAACTTGCCATCATTTTACTTTAATTTTAATTGTATTTGAATTTTCTTTAATTTTATTAATGGTTTATGTAAAATGGAATTCATATGTTAATTTGATTTAAGTATAGATCTATATTTTATTTATTTTTAATATTATCCTTAATAAAAATTAGAAATGTCCTAAAAAATAAACTTTTAACCTTGTATAACTTATGTATATATAAATCTATATATAGGAAACCCAGTATTTAATAGTTAGATTTTTTACTATATTATCAATATAAGTGGCACATTCAACCTTTCAATTCATTTCAAAGACATTTCATATTCTATAAAAAGATTTTCACTCTTACAAATATATAACGTATAAGTGAGAACCTTATGCTTGATTTCATATAAATATAAAAGTTTATTTATATCAATGTGTGTGTACGTTAACTGCATATATTTCAAATATAATATTTCAACTTATAAATATAGGATCGAGATATTTTCTATGTTATCCTAATATCTAATATTCGATCTAATTTTTTATAATTTTGAAAAACAAAGATTACAAGATTCAATTAAATTTGACGAATGATAAGATTCAAAAATTATTTGACATATAATTATTACAAATTAAAGAGTGCATTAAATACAAAGTATTCAAGTGCATGAGAGAATAATAATTATTCTCTTTTTCTTTTTTTTTTTGAGTAACTACTTTGATTTTAAAACATAATAAGTGTTATAACAGCAAATGAACGCAGTATTCGTCTTATTTTAAATGAAGAATCCCACAATTGTCATATGTCAATCAAATTCGATTCGAATCCACAGCTCCAAACGTCTCATGTCAAAACTTAAAAAAAGTATTTTAATTATTTTTGATATTTTACACAAATGTCAGTTATTCACATAAAATGGATATTGCTGTGCAGTTTGACACACCCCTTGCCAAATGTCGCCTCAACATACTTGTAGCAATTGTATTATATGTTAATACGTATTATGGCTTCCACTTCAATTCAATCTACAATTAAATTACCAAAATAAATCATTATGGAATATTTAATTATTACAATAAAATTTTTGTATTTAAAATTTTTGAATTTGAATTTCAAGCATTTTTCAAAACATTTTCTTACAACTTAATATTTATTTAAAAAATACCTTCTAAACTGGAAATTAAAATAATTCTGAATTAAAATATCCGAGAATGTTATAATATATTTTTAATAAAATATTTTATTTACATAATAATTATATACATATACTTATGTAATGTATAAGTACATATATCTCGTGCCGATAATCAATTTCAATAAAAATAATACAAATAAAAGCAAACATACATAATATCACTTATCCGTATTATAAAGGTGGGAGCTAAGAGTATAAACAACGACACTTCACAATTTTCTGTCATTTTTTTCTACATACTTACACTTACATATATGTACATATCTTTGTATATATAAAAATAATAATAAATAAATCTAGAACAATATGAAATCTTTCTATTAATGCTCTCATTATAATATCGAAAAAGGAAAAAAAAAATCAAAATTCAATTTTGATATTTTTATATTATAAAGTAGGTACTCATTTTTCTTTCTTCTCTTTTGATGTACAGAGTGTGTTCCCATTAAATAATTGAGATTAAGAATTCTTTCTGGGTTGCAAATTAAGATGGCGCAACAAGAACTTAGAATTTTTAATTTTTTTTTTTTTTTGTTCTTTATTAATCAATTTATTCCAATAAAGAATCAAAATAAAAAAAGTTAAGCAATAATGATAACAAAGCAGAAAAATTGTAAATATTAGAATCGTTTTAAAATCGGTGTTCGGTATAAAAATGCTGAGCTGGTTAAGCTCATTTAAATTGCTTTAAATATAATTTATGTACGATCGCACTTTAAAACGATTGCTTTTAACCAGGTCATATTGCTTTTTTTAGTAAACCAAAAAAAAACTGCTTAATTTTCTACCAGCGACTTACATTTTGACATTCAGTGGACTAACAGTGGACAGAATTGTCAATCATCATTTAAAAATGTCAGTTGTCGTCGATTAGTTAGACATAATGAAAATATTTCAGTGTACTCAAGTGTTTTAGTGTACTCCGAACAGCAAATATTTTTAATTCTTACCCTACGATCTAAACCAAGAATATCTTCTGTGATTCGCGACCATTCCGTCTACCTGAGCACAGATTTTTTTTCGAATACTTATATAATTTCAATTGTAATTTTTTAAAATTTCTAACTTTTAAAATACAACTACAAATAACTTATTTATTTACTTATTCAATAAATTAGTTTAACACGGTATGATCTTATAATTTACCAAATATATGTATAAGAAGTAAGTGTATACTCTGTCACTGTATATACTGTCGTTTATATATATACATATATATATATGTATATGAGCCTACATATAAAATACATTTATATTTTTATAAAATATATTTTATATTAAAATAAATAAAAAAAAATGAGATTCTAGGTTTTGAAGTTCGCACGAAATTACTTGATTTAAATGTGCAATATAAAAGTAAAAGTGAGAAGAAAAATCAAAAAGTGAAGAAAACAAAAGAATTAGGTGTTTTTTTGCTAACTATACTTAGACAACTTTTTTTTGTTACCCTACATCTTTTACAATAACGTATACATGCCTACACACAAATGTATATAAATACAATTCATATTTTAATAATTTACCTTCTAAATCTAAAATCTTGTCTATATATACACTTATACCCACCTTACCAAGTAAACTCCTTTAGCACAAAAAAAAAACAATGAAAAGAACAACAATAACACAAAAATTCTTCATCAAATTTTTTAAGTCATTGATTATTCTGTCTTTTGATATTCAGAAGTAGATATCCTAACTTTTTTCTAATTAAATACTCTTAATAAAAATAATAAAAAAATAATTAAAAATTTTGTGTATCTTAATCTAAAATTTTAAATTATTTCAAATATTTTATTTTGGTGCGAATACAAAAATTTATTATACGCCATTAAAATTATTGTCAAAAAAAAAAATAATGTTCAATTGAAAATCAAATAAAATAATAAAAAATATTTAGTTAATGTTGTTGTATGCAGATTCAAAGTAAAATTTTTTAAATCTCTCTCTGAAATTTTGACAATTTTGAAATAATTCTTTTTTTTTTAATTCACAATTAAATATTATTTATTGTTCTCTTATTATTATTATAGAAAAAATACGGGTTCTGGTAGTAGATTAAGAAAATCTAGTAAAGGTTCTGTTGATGATAAAGTTAATTTAAATATATTTTTATCACAAAACATTAATTCATCTGATTTTGAAGAAGACGACGGCGCTGATGACGACGACGACGACGACGATGAAAATAATAGTAGTGATGATCAAGATAATTCAAGTGCAAGTAATAAAACAGTGGTAAGTTTGTGAATTAATTTATAATGATTTTATATATTTTAACATAATATGTAAACAATTTTTCTATTTTCTGGCATTTTTAATTGATCACTCCCTCTTTAGAAGTACGAGTATAATTTCTCTTCGTTAATAACAGCAATTCAATTATGATTTAATATAATTGGCAATTCTATTCGGATAAAATTTCACGCTCCACGGTAGCACTCTCATTTCAAAAAGTCAGAAATTTGTTTCTTTCTATAGTTCAATTATTTAAAAATTTGAATCACTAACCGAATTGATCAAAATTTAATTATTGTAATTATTTTCTTAATCTTACTTTTTGGAAATCTTAAAAATAAATTAAAATTAACACATGGCATACATTTACAAATCAAAAGTCTTTGAGTATTCATAAATTATTATTTGAATTAATAATAATTTTTAATAAAATTTTTTCAGAGATCTGTAAAAGGAATTGAGGAAAACGCAATATCTAATACTGATATTAAATTAGAAGATATAAATACAGAATCAATTACAGGAAAAGTAGAATCAAATAAATCAAGTGGAAATTATTGTAATATTAGAAAACCATTAACAGCTGCAGCACGTCGTGCTCTATTTAAAGCTAGCAAAGATAGTAGTATTCTTAATTATAGCGTAAATTATTCACCACCAGGTTATAAAGATCAAACATATGCTAACGATTCAACAACAACAATATTAAATAAAAATCAAGATAATAAATTAAATTCAAATAATACAATTAATAATATAAATTCAAAATCAACAATAATTAATAAAAGAATATCATCTGGTATAACAAGAGTACCATCAGCTACAATTACAAATACAAATAATAATAGTAGAATATCATCTGGTAAGAAATCAATATCAAACGTAAGAATTGTATCAGCATCAAATCGTATTTCATCAGCAAATAAAAAATCAAATAATAATACAATACAAACAGAAATAAGTGCAGCACCATCTTTACTTATTGAAAGACGACCACCGTTGATTCGGGCTATGTCAGCACCAATACGTACTTTAGATGAAAATTCGAAAAATATTTTTGCAAATAAACGTAAACCAAGACGTCGAAAAATTTTAACACGTACCCAAACAACTTGTGTTAATGATAATGATCAAGATGATAATAAATTAATTGAATCGACTGATAATTATGATGAAAATGATGAAAATTTTAATGGAAAAAATCGTAATCGTAAAAATACATCATCGAAAAATACATTAACAAGATCAAGATCAACAATTGGAATTGATGTTGTTACATTAGTATCATTAATAAGTTCTGAAGAAAGTGATTCAGAAAAAGAAGATATTTTAAGTCCAATAATTGGTTCACCTGCTAAAAGAGCGCCACCATTACGGAAATCTGGTAAATCAGGTATGCATATATATTTTATATATTATTTATTTGTATAGACCGGTTGTATATTGTATATTATTTAATAATATTTAGAAATTGTTATAGAGTTGAACGAAAATTTTCTAAAAACTGCACCTCTTCATAAATTTAAACTTTAATATTTGTTTTATTATTTTGTGAATTATTATATAAAGAAACGTTTACACATTTTTGTACAATTTTCTGTTTCTGTATATGCTAAATTCACTTTGATATGTTATAAAATTTTGACAATGAAATTATCAAGTGATTAATTTTTGTTTGAAATTTATGCTCTATTTTGATTTTAAATTTTGGAAATTTGATATTTAAATGCGGTATGAGCTTCCCAAAATAGCTTTTTATTAACGATTAGTTTATGCAATCAAAACAAATATGTAATACCTAGCTGTATGACAAACCTAAATTTAAGGAGTAATATAAGTAAAATATAATATGGCTATAATTAAAAATATTTGGTTCTCGTATTATTAATAAATTTAAATCACTTGATATTTTTATTTTAATAAATTAATTTTATCAACTAAAATGTCAGAGAAAATTATTACAAAATCGATATAGATGTAAATACCACCCCTAAAACATACGTTAAATAAAAGTAAAACCTTAAATTTCTTCCCAATAATTTTGACAATTAACATATAAAAATAAATCACATTTCATTTTTATTTGTGTCGATATTTTGTATTGAAAATCGATATTATTAAATTTAACAATTCAAGGAAATCGATTTTGTAATATAATGATTTTGACAATTTTCTTTTCTTCATCCTTTCACATTTTAATCATTTAATATTTTTTTTCGATTTATTATTTAATTTTCACTTGTTTATTCATTTTTTTTTTAATTTATTATTTTTTTTTCTCCATTCTTTACCATTCTTTTATGGCTTTAATTAAGACGAAGAATCATCTTCATCATCTTCATCTGAATCTCAAATGTAAAACTCATTGAAATCATTTATTATTGTAAATCAATTCTACATAAAATGCAGTTTTATCTTGATGCCCAAATGTAAATATTGCAGCAAATTAAAATACATTTTTTTATTATGAATAATATTTTGCTTTAAAATATTCAAGAAACTAAATATATATATTATGTAAATGAAATTTATGTATGGGTTAAAATGTATATACAAATATAATAATATGTAGACTTAAATGAATGTATGTGTGTGCAAAAATTTTCATGTTTTGCATGTGAATGTATTGAATTAAATGTTTAAAATTTTAAATTTAAATATTGCAATCTTTAGTTAAATGAAATGAACTTTATATAAAAAAAATATTTTAGTAAATAATTTGAATATTTTTAAATTCGGATTTAATTACCGAAACCAAAATATTCCTTAAAAACGATAATGTTGTTCTGTGCCCTTTCCAATTAAGACAGTGAAAATATCTTAATTCCGGTTGTCTCAATAGGAAATTAATATCGTATATACCAAATTTTTTTTAAAGAATATTACTGACATTTCATGAGTTTTAACTGTTAATTTTTGCGTTATCATGTTTATTATTACCATTATATCATTATGTCATTTCTTATTTTTTTTTAAATATAAACGTAAAATTTATATTAAATATATTCAAGCTGGTCTAGGCATGATCATAATTTTCATGTATTAGCGTTTTTTGAGAATATCAATATATCACATGATTGTATGTGCGTCATAACAAAGAGCATTTAAATTACAAATGACAGTTGATATGTTCTTCTGTGTCTCTTGTTATCTCTTTGTTTGAATTACACATTTGTAGTTCATAAATTAAAACAAGTTTCATATTGAGAAACTGAACACATGTTATACTTAATTAGGACTTTTGCTAGTACCGTGCATTGATAATAAACCATGCATTTGGAACGTACATAAATATTGTGATATTTAACTAAAGACTGCTATATTTCATACAATTTAATTTGTAAATTTATGTACATGTGGTATGTAAATAAATAGTTATACTTGTACATATTATATAAAATTAAAGCATGATTTTAATATTATTTTTTTTTTATTACTTTTTTATTTTTGTTACTTTTGTGTTGGTTTTTTTCGTTTCAAAATTTCGTATAAATTTATTTCAGTATCTTTTCAAGAAAATCAAGGACCAAATACAACAACAAGAGAATATAATCATATGTTAAGACGTGGCTCTATTGCTCCATTAGCAGCAAAATTAAGATCAAATCGACCACCAACAGCGCCACCTGTATCAATATTTATGTCAGATATAGAACAAAGGTAAAAGAAATTGCATATGGCTAGGCTAAAAATATTTTTTATGAAAATTTGAATATTGTTTGAAAAATTCTCAATATCGTAAAATATCAATGAAATGTTACGATATATAACAAACTTAAATAACTTTTATCTGTTATATCGTAAAATATCAATGAAATGTTACGATATATAACAAACTTAATAACTTTTGTCTGTTATACAATTTGTTATATCGTAAAATATCAATGAAATGTTACGATAAATAACAAACTTAAATAACTTTAATCTGTTATATCGTAAAACATCAAATGAAATGTTACGAGATATAATCTTATTGTTTTATGTTTTTTTTTTTTCAAATTTTCCTTCTTTTTTCTAATTTTAGTACACCAAAAATGGATGAAAAATCAAAAAGTTGTATAAAAGATGATGATCTAACATCAAATCATTTATCTGATGAATCAAAAGAAAATTCATGTATTAATAAAAATACTGATGAAGAAACTTATCAATATCCAGAATTTGTAAAATCATTAAAGGAACGTGAATGTTGGAAATTATTTCAAACAATGACTAATAAAGGTGTTGCTGTCTCATATGAAACTGTATTAAGAGGATTATTAACACCAACTGAATTAAGGCAATTATTAGCAAAAAGAAAAGAAATTGAAATGGCACAACTTAGAGCACAAGAAATTGAAACTGTTGCACATGAAGAGCATGAAATTAAAAAAAATCAAAAAAATAAACCAAATAATAATTAAAAAATATTATATATAAAAAATATAACAAATTAATTTATTAACATTTAATAATGTAATCAAACAAGCAAAATTTATTAAAAATTTTATTTAAAAATTATTAAAATAAAATATTATAGTAGGTATAAAAAGACCAAAAACGTATTATTTTCACATATTAAAATCACTAAATAAGAAAAAAAAAAAATTAAAATTAAAATTTACAGCAAAATAATTTAAAATTCAAACAAAAAAAAAAAGATACTTAAGGTTTCAAAAAAACAAGGTACTTTAAATAAAATTAATTAATAAAAATTAATGTTTTTTTTTTATTAATTTAATTATTACTATTAATTTAATTGTTATTTATTAAATATTTCTTAATATTATTAGAAATATACATACTTTTATTATATAAATTTTATTTTAATTATTATTGTTATATTTGTAAGCTTTGTTAAAAAATGTTATATGATATAATAAAATGTTATATAAATTAAATATAGTAAATAAATGTTATAAATGAATGTTATAATTATAATTTAAATCAAATTGATATTATAGTAGTAGTATAAACACTGAAATTTCACATTCTATACTTCTGTCCTCCTATAAGAATATTTCTATGGATAAAATAGAGAAAACTTTATTTAAAATGTAAAAACAAAAACATTATGAATTGCATTCTATAATATGTTGAAGTATAAATAAAAATTTATTTCAAAAAATAATATCAAATTTTATTTATTTTCTTCTTTAATTATTAAAATTTTTTAATTTATTTAATTTACTTAAGTTTGTTTATTGTTAGGTTCAGATTAGTTAATGATATTATAAAAAAAGATTTTTACACCAGAAATTACACCAAGTATAAATGTACATTGAGTGTAAGAATAACCTAATTAATAAGAATAAACTAGGTTTTAAGAATAAGTACATTTCTTCTTAATTACATATGTAAAATATTCTATAACATGCTAAATAGTTTATTTTAACAATTGCAGTCCTTAATTATATTAGATCTTATTTGTTGTTCTTAAACATATTATGTTAATTTTTTAGGCTGATTGTTGTTCTCTTACTATTGTTCCACAGCAAGCTTTTCATGTAAAATGTAAAAAAATATATAAGTGAATTTAGTATTTTTATTTTAGGAAAATCTTATTTGAAAAGAAACACAATTTTTCGAATTCAAAACTATTAATGTTAATCTTTTAATTTAAACTTAAATTATTATTTAATCAAGTGGTTAATTTAAACTACACACAAAAAAAAACTACATTTTGCTTTATGAAAAGAAAACTCCAATTGTAATTTTGACGTTTGATCTCTGCCACAAGAACTATATGAATATTCAAATTGAATAAATCTACATGGCCAACATATCCTAAAATACGAAATGAAAATCTGAAAGTATCAAATAATTATTACGCATATAATATAAGCATGTATATAACACTTATCGGACAAGGTCCGTAGATTTACGTTTTTTTTATTCTGACTTCCTAAAACGGCCCACGTAGATATACGTTTTTTATTGAATTTTATGTAAGTTGCGTTAGTTTTTTTATTTTATGTACAATGTATTATTTTTTCTTGATGCTATCACCCTAGGCTCCTATGCCATAGTTTTGATTTTAGGAAGTATTTCTAAATAATTTTATAACGGTAAAAATGGCAAGCAGTAAAGAATTTTTAAAAAACTTATCCGAAGGTGATATTGAGTTTGAGAACTTTGATGAAGAAACGCTTTAATCTTATAAAAAATTATAAGAAACATAATTGATTTAACAAAGTTTTATTGTAGTTCCGAAAACTAGGAAAGACAGAGCAAATTCGGCCCGTCCGTTAAATGTTAATATATTCACAATTTTGTATATTATGAAGAATTGAAAATATCATCAATGAAACAATGACATTTAATAAGCCTGAAATCTTAATATTAATTAAAACATTTTTTCTCTCTCATTTCTTCTTTATTATTATTTTAAATTTTCCCATTATACACTAGAGCCTTAGTAGAACCTTAGCGACATCTTTCTACACTTAGTAGAGCAAAAATTACTCATCTTTCCACTGATTAATTTTTCTGTGTTGAAAAATTCGTATATTTTTTAAATTCAACAACACAAAATTTGAATGTTTGTGTTAATAATTTGTATACCAACTCCACATCTAAATACATTTATATTTGTATGGCACTTATACTAAAATGAAAACAAAATAAAAATTTGACAATTTTAATAATTTTAAAAAATTTTATGCGAAAAGGTGTTAGTATGGTTTTAAATTTACTCAGAGTATTACCAACTCGCAAAGTTTAGTTTAATATATGTTAACAGGTACGTATGCTGTTGATAGCTATTTTGATATCAAAGCTATTTTAGTGATATAAGGAATAAAAAACAAGATTATAAATTTATTAGTCATAAATTTTTTGTGATTTCCAATTTATATTTCTGAAAATTCAAATTTTGTGAATTAAACTTTTATTAATATTCTTTTTACTATTTGGAATTGTAAGATAATATTGAAACCATAAAAATGAAAAATTGAGCTGGTTATTTTCAAAAAAGGTACCAGTCAATTTTTTCATATATTGAGATATTTAAATGTTTGAGTTTGAATCAATTTAAAAATATTGGTTATAATAACATAATTTGTTTATTTTATGTCTATAAATAGAATTCTATTGAAATTGTGATTGTAACTGTGGGGAGAAGATGTTAATAGCTCATCAAAATTACCATTAACTTATTGTAGACTTACTCGCATACCATTTTCTAAAAAACCAGCTCAATTAGCAATCAATGTTATATTAAACATTAAAAAGATTAAGAATTTTCGTCATCAGATGGGAATAAGTGTGAATGTACTTACACATTTTTTTTCCAAAAAAAAACATTTGCACCAAAATTATTTATTCTACAGTTTACGCTCTCTCATTTTATTTTATTAAGTTATAAATAAATACGCGCAAGATGAGGTGATAAGAAATTCTGAGCAACTAACAACTGATATGAATGCTGTGTATTCGATTTCTCTTTATTATTAAATTCTTTTTATTTTACTTTTTACACCACACACTATTAAAAATGTAAAATTCTCTTATTTCAATCTGGATAATATTTGCAATATAAATAATTCGGATTGAATACATTGGCGTTAGTCTGATTTTAAATGTGTTTTGAGTATCAACTAGCAATTTTTCATAAAAAAAAAAAAATAAAATATTATGTTAAAAATTTTATAGAATTTCACAAAAGTGAGAAATTCACGCATTGCTCAATTATTGTTAAATTCACAGAATTTATTATGCATGTGTGAGTTTAACAATAATTAATCAGCTCACCTTCCAATACCACAGAGTTGATAACAATAAGATCACAATTAAAAATATAAAATAATAAAATTTAAAATGTTATTAAATTATTGTCTTGTTAGAAATAGTAAAATTATCATCTGTTGACTTGCTCTATAATAAATCTGAAATTAATATGATATAAAAATAAGATTTAAATTCTAAGAAAAATTTTAAATAGTGAGATTTATGGGCATAAATTAATTTTTTTTTTCTAGTTTAATTTGACGATTTTAATAAATTATTGAAAAATGTCATCGATTGAATCAGATGTTATAAATCGTTTAATGAAAATTAACAGGTTTATAACCTTACCTAAAACTGAAAAAGCATCTAAAACAGATGATTTCAATAATATAACAAAATTTTTTATTGATAAATTAAAAAATTATGATCCTGCTTTTAATAAACTTTATAAAGGACATCGTTTGGCTGGTAAGTTTAAAATTTCCACAGATATTTTCCCATAATTATTATAAAATCATATGTAATATTTTATTCTAATTGATTTTTTAAAATTTCATATCCTATAGTTGAAATTTCAAAGCTACAATTCAATTTACATATTATTTTTCTTTTAGGTAGCTATGCTGACAAATTAAAAATTGGTGAAGCTGATGAATTTGATTTAATTATTAAATTAAAAATAGATAGTGCATACGATATTGAAGTTACAGAAGATCCTGATTTTCCAGGTTATTGTAATATTAATTTAAAAGATATGATGTTAAAATTAAAGGAGAAATGTGAAAAAGAAGAAGCTAAAATTTGGTATTATAAACATTTCGAAAGTTTAATAGATGAAAATAGTTATTTAATTCAAGATAAAGTCCATGAATGGATTGAAAGATTAATGGCTAATATATTATATGAAGATTTAAAAGATGGTGAATTAAAAATAAATGAAAATACAATTTATTCAATAAAATATTCTACATCTGGTCCAGCTCATACAATAAATTTAATACGTACTGATAGAAAATTAATATCAATTGATTTAGTACCAGCATTTATATTTGATGAAACAAAATGGGTAGTAGAACGTAATCTACCATCAACATTAGCTAATATAATTCCAAAAGAAGATTTATATTGGATTGCATTACCGAAACCTATTAAAGGAAAACCTAAACCAAATAAAAGTTTTTTAACATCATTTGTTGATATTGAAAGGCATTTAATTTCGGATCGAAATAATTTAAAAAATACATTGAAAATGTTAAAAAAATTACGTGATCGAAAAAAACTTGATTATTTAAAAAGTTATTTTATTAAAACTGTTTATCTATGGGAAAATGATATACAAGATCGAAAATTTTGGGATCAATCATCATTTGAAGTATTGAAACATGTAAGAACTTTTTGAAAAAATTTTATTTCATAAGCACCTACTTTCCACATATGTAATTCGTATTCATGTAGAGAAAGTAATTTAAATTATTTTTGTATAATTTCATTTTTAGATGATTTTAAAAATTATTGAACATTTGAAAAATAAAAATTTACCATATTTTTGGCATAAAGAACAAAACATGTTTGGAAATTTATCCGAAGATGATATAAAACATATGTTGAGTGAATTAAATGAAGCATATGATATATTAATAAATCAACCAAATGAAATTTTTAATTTGTTTCGTAAGTATAAAAGTTATTTAATGGCTAATAATAACGGATAGAATTATTGGAAAAAGAGCTTGCAAATAAATTTTATTTTTTTTACATTTTAGTTACATATGCTGAACAATTGAAACTTGAAGAAGATCTTGCAAATTTTAATTGTAATGCAATTCAATTGAATTCAAATCCAATTGTAATTGAAAACACCAACAACGAACCGTTGGCTTCATCATCTGAAGAAAACAGATCGCATTCTCATATACCTTTATGTTCTTTTGATACACCAAATGGTTTTCTACTTTTAAATCCATTTACTATATTTACTAAACCTTATGCACTTTTACCAAGGAGATTTTAAATATGTATTTTTAAATGATTTAAAGAAATTTGACTTTACATTTGAATAAAACAACATTTTAAATACATTTTTTTTTTATAAATACTTAATTAAAATTAAGAATTAATTAGGTAGTTTCATATTAATCAAATTAAAAATGATGCAAGATTGTTAATTTTTCTAGTTTTCTGATAAAATTTCTTGGAATTAAAAAATAAAAGTTTTTTAAACTCATTTATAATATTATTTTTTTATTTTATTTTTTTTTTCAATAATGATTTTTAATTTTTATTAATAACTATACGATTTTTAATATTATTACAATCTTAAATTAAAAATAAAACTTAAGTCTGAATTTATTATTAACAACAATTATAATCACTGGTTATGAGTTCTTTTTTCTTTTTTTTTTCATGCATCCTACAACTTAAACTCGTACATACATATATACATAATTATAATATGTATGTTAACATATGCGGTAAAATATTTATACTATGAATACATTGCTAACAAATTAAATTATTATTAATTATGAAAATTACTATTATATGATATGATAAAATTTCAAATGCATTCATTTCTATATTATATAAATGTTTCCACAATTTTTAAATAAAATATTTAAGCAATGTACTTAATACACAATAATATATTAAAATCAACATTCTGTACATATTATTATAATTGATATACATATATATAATACCAAAGAACATTAATTAGAATTTATTTAAAATTTTATGCGGTTCTTATATTAAAAATATGATGCGATATATGTATACAAAATAGGTATATAAGATTTGTAAGAAGTCTTGAGTTCATTTCTCATATTTGAAATATTTAAATGCTTTTTAAAATATATAATTTTAGTAAATACTAAATTAAATTTGAGAATTTAATATGTATATTTTACATATTAAATTCTCAAATGTTCATATGATATATGAAAGTTATTTAATATATGAAAGTTCAGATATATTTAATAATTTCACTTGTTTAATACACTAATTTCGAATGTTATAATATTTATTATTGGAGAATATTCTACAAAATATATATTTTACACATAAATTATAAATAATATTTTATTCTGAAATTATATAAATTTTTTGAACCGCTTTGAATGTTCTTTGAATATTTTTTATATAATTTAATTGTTATTTATAAATTTATATACGATATTATGATATTCGAAATTAGATAATATTATAAGATATTATATTACAAATATATTTAATTAATTTATTTTTACAACATTAATTTATGATTATTTATTTTCCTTTTTTTTTTCTCTCATAAAATAAATTTAAAACGATATGCAACTTTTATATTTAAATACAATACAATATGTTCTTTTCTTTTCATATTTAATTATACAATAATTTCTTCTACATTATAATTTTTTCATAATTATTTAAAATTTTATATTTTTTTTTTTTTATGAATTTAAACAATTTTTAACAAACTATTAATTTTTTATTTCTGATTTTTTTTTGTTTTTATATTTTAAAATATTTTTATATTTTGCCTTTTATATTTTATTTAATTATAATTATATTTATTTTTCATTCTGTGTTCATTTTGTATAATTTATTAATAATAATTTAAGGAAGAAGTGAACTTTAGTATTAAAGTGCATTTAAAATTTAAAAATTTTTTTTGTTTTTGAATAATTATACAAAATTTCATTATAAGAAAAAATAAAATTTTAAAAATTTTTCATGAAAAATTATTAAAATTAAATATATTATTTTACATAAAAAAAAGAAGAATTATTATTTTTTTTTTAAAGAAAAACAACAAAACAAAAAAATGTTTACACAATTTCCTAATATACTACATTTAGTACAATATTACAATTTGTATAGTTCAATTACTAAACAGATATTCCTTAATTCGTATATTAGTATTATTTATTTTCAAATTAATTAATGCAATTAATTAACAAAAAAAAATATTTTCTCCTTTAAAATTAATACATTTAATATTGATAATACATTAACAGAATTCACTCCTTCAAATGTACATGTAACGGATTTGGTCCATTTAATTTTGATAATTTAGTAGGTCCAACTAAAAAAATAAAATATAAAAATAAATTTTAAAATAAATTTGTAATAAAATTTATTATAAATGAATATATTAACATAATTTAACTAACACCATAATTTTAAAATTAATATTGAAAAATTTAATTGTATATGTTTGATTGTATAACAGTCTGTTGAGACGTTTAATTGTATAACAGTCTGTTTAGTAAGTATATTTTTTATGGATATACATTTAAGATATAAAAAATGCATTTGTATATCTAATAATATAACAAAATCCAGGAGAAAGCAATTGAAAACGAAAAATTAAATTTTATCGCGATTTTAAAAATTTAAATTGATATGATTTTTCGTTAAAAAAAAAAAAATCTCTCTCCTAAAAGTATGCAATATTTTAAATAAAAATCATATGGAATACACAATAATAAAGAATTCAAATATCAATAATATAGAGATAAACGAATAAATTTTTCATTTTTCATATTTTAACTATTTAAAATATTTAATTTACCTGTTGTTGATCTTGTTATATCTGTATCACGTTCAGTTTGCATACAATTTAACCATTCAGCTAAAGTAATCTTCTTATCACTATTTACATCACAATACCTTGGCATCTTTTTACCACATTTTCTCAATGGTCTGAAAAAAATTTCAAAATTATTTAAATTTGTACAATAAAATTATTAAATGTGCAAAAAAATTTAATTGTAACTTACTTGACTTCTGATACCATTTCACGGAAAATTTTCCATTCTTTGCGTTCCCAAACACTGTTTTTATTTTTATCCAAATAAACAAAACTAAGTGTAGCATATTTTTCATCTTCACTACTAAATATCGTTCTGTTTGATCTAAAATGTTATTAAAAAATTAATTTTTGTTACAATATAATTCTTTTCTATATAATTTATTGGTTTATTCAAATTTTTTTACCCTAAATTTGTTTTTGATGTTACTTCTTTCTTTAAGAAATCTTTCAAATCTTTTAGAAATTGCAATTTCTTTGGTTCTGGACAACCTTTCATTGGTCTAGATGTCTGATAAACTGAATCACATGCTGGTATTTTATCTTTAACCGATGTACCGGGAATATTTTTTCCTGTGTCTTCATGTACACACCAACAATATCCAGTTGATCGATAACATTGAACTCTTTGATAACGTCCATCTGGTGTACATTCAGGAACATACATCATAGATCCCCCACCATTCTTAAAAGAAAACAAAATTTTTATTAATACGAAATTTGTTAGTGAATGAGCGTTTTCTACATTAAATAACCTTACTTCTTACGATAAAAATTAAAAAAAAAATATACTTACATTCTGTTCTTCTAAAGCAGCAGCTCTGTCTGATGTACAATCTGATATTTCTGCTTCAGATTCCTGATTATGACTGATATGTGGTTCTGGTCTTACAGAGAGAACTATTTAACAAAAAAAAATTCAAATTAATAATTGTAGTAAAGAAAAATATTAAATTATTTTAAGGACTCTTTAGCTCTTATTTACTTTGAAAAAACTTACGTATCACAGCAGGATTAGGGGATAAATTTCTAGAAGGTGAACCTATTGTATCAGAACCTGCATGACCATCATCCTCTTCATAATCTTCATCTTCATATTCTTCTAAATGTTGTGAACTTTCTTCATCACCATCATCTGAATCATCTAAATGATGTAATGTTGATGTTATTGAATGAGGTGAAGCTCCATTAGCATTACGATTAAATACCCCACCTACATATATATACAAACATATATAAATTTTTAATTAAATCTTAAAATCTTTTTAAAATTGAATTTTATAAACAACGTACGATTTATTCCATCCCGCGTCAAACAGTTACTCCATTCAGCTCGAGTTAAACTTTCATCAGTGTCGACATCACAATATTTACCAAAAAGTCTAGCACATCGTTTTGGTTTTATAACCTATTAAAAATTTAAAAATTACATTACTTGTACAATTTCATTTATATAAATGCAAGCTAAATTATTGAAGTTGCTATATCATCTGTGTGTACTTGAACTAATATTACCTTTTTAATTAAACGTTTCAATTCCCTAAATTCAATTTTATCCAACATTTGATTTTTATTTAAATCTAATGAAATAAATTTCCATTCAAGTACAATTTTATCATCTAAATTTTTTGGTGGATTCAATGGATCTCGAGCACTCTGATAACGTTTATATTCCATAACAAATATATTTATTAAATTATTATTAAATTCAGCTTGATCTGCTTGTGTACATGGTCGTCTATTACGTTGCATCATATTTTTAGATGGTGATCGTCTTGTATTTGATCTTGTATATCTTCTACAATTCGGTTTACCATTTCTTGTTGATGTATCTGGTATTGGTTTACCAGTACTATCAGAACACCAACAACCAGTATTTTCTAAACATTGTATAGCAGCATATGATCCATCTGGTCTACATTTTGGTATAAATCGATGATATGGTGTTTTTGTTTTTAAAGCATACTGTCGAACTTCTAAACATTCTATAAAAAAATATACATAATATAAGATTAATAAAATTCAATATAAAAATAATATTTATAATTTTACCTTTTTTACATGCTCCAGCATGCTTTAATTTTACAGGATTTCCTTGGCATTGTGTTCGAATCAAATGGCATCGTGAAGGATAAGTTCGATTATCGGTACCACAAACTGGTCGATGTTTTTGTTCATCACATTCTCCACCTTTTGCTGCACATTCTGACATCTAGAAAAAGAAAAACAAAAATATTTAAATTAATTATTTTGTACTAATTTGGGAAAATGAAATTACAAAAGTTCTTTTGGCACAATATCACAATACAAACACATATTATTGGTGTATAGTTGAGATATAAGAGTTTAAAATGAAATTAATCATTTCGCTTAAGAAATGTAATCAATAAATTTAAAAAATTATTGAAGCTTTCAGAATTAAACGCGTGATGGCTACACCTACTGTCTACTACTGTTTATTTTATATGCAAAATTACCCATCAAATTATTATGCATAATAACATTTTCAATTCAAATGATTTTTTTATTTTACTAAAATTATGTCAAAATAATTTGTTTATTTTCATTTTTATATTGTTTTATTTGCAGAACATTATACTTATATAATAAATTATTATTCTTTAAAAATTAAAATTTATTATTGTAAACTTAACATAATTGTGTGTTAGAAGTAAAAAATAAAATTTTATTTATTCTTTTTATTATTCTTATTAAAGAATAAATTGCAGTTGCATAACATGTCATCTACATATACATACATATGTAAGTACTATGTACCTTCACTGGGGGAGTCTCTTGAATATGAATGAATTATTGATGTCAAGTGATTTTTATATACATATGTATATTTAATAAATTTGCACGAAATCTTTTATTAGTTAAAACATGAATTTAAAATATGTACATGACAATTATAATAAAATTTTGTATATATATATATATATGTATATATATGTATATGCACATAAATTATGTAAATGTTATACTTATGTATATATACCCTATGTACTGCAGTATATACTGCATATGTAAGCAATCATTCTTTATCTAAAAGTCTATTAAAATTTCCAAAGTACTTTTGTATATACATTTATGCCATCTATAAAAATCCATTCTAAACTGATTTGACGTATAATAATCAAATTATTGTACATACTTAATATTCTTATACTTTAAAGCAAAGATAATTCAAAGAACTCATTAGAATTAAAATCAGAAAACAAAAGAAAGAGCACGCGAAACACATACATACATATACATATGTTCGTATATATTTTATATTTGCTAATTTTTTTTTGCCATAAAATGTTTATCCATATATTGAATTTAAATTATACTCATTTCGAAAAATTTCCATTAAATTATTCTTAAATCAATTTTTTTGAAATTTCCTTGTTCTTTAATATTGAAATTAAATTAATATTAGACATTATATTCATTGTATGTGTGTATGTTATACAATGAATGTATGCTTTACAAAATAAGCATATTAAAAATAAATAGTCGAAAAAAACGAAATATTAAAACAACCCATATTTCAACTTAAAAATTTATTTGAAATTTTTGGTACTTGTGACATTTAAAATCCGGGTAATTTAATATTTTTGTATATATGTACGTATAAAAATGAATAAATTATTATTTAAGGTGTTTTTTTTTGTTTGTCATATTTGAATTTGTTTATTTATTTTTTTTTTGACACATTATTTGAGTATGGATAATTCATAAATCTTTATTAAAATGGATTATCTCTTTTTTATTATATTTCTTCATTTTTTTTAGTTTATTAAAAATTTTTGCTAAATTTCAAGAAATATTGTGTTGTACACACATATGCATATGACATTTGTCGCAAAACAATTGGGGGATTACTTAGAAAAACCCACATAATAGTGGGGCTTATTCTACGTATCGAATCACAAAGTGATAAGGATAATTATCGTAAAAATTTCGATATTATGTATTATTAATGTAAACACAAGGCAGTTCATACAAATGATTAGTGTCTATAATAAAGTTTTTGACACTTTTATAATAAAATATCACTAGCACATTGCGACTCAATATAAGCCCCGTTATTGGAAACCAATTATTAACCATTTTATATAAGAATATAGTGTAATACATACATATGTCAAATATTTTGAATATTAAAAAAATTATAATATTCGTAATTTTAAACTAGAGTCAATAATATATTTTTCCCTAGCGTTCTGCTTTTCTTACAAATTGAGGCCCTCATCCACACATGTTCTAAGAACTTCTTCACCAGCCCACAAAATTAGCAAAAAGCATACTTAATATGACTAAAATTATACATGAATATGACACTTAACATATTTCACGTTATGTATTCCAAATTATGTCACAATAAAAAAATAAAATTTTAGACCAATATCTTATGATTTTTATCAATAACCAAGTTTTATGAAATTTCTTTTGGCTTTTTTTTTTAATTTTTATCCAAGTCAAATATTTTAACACCTTTATTATTTTAAAGATATATAATAAAAAAAAAAGAAAGAAAAAAAATAAAATCGAAATTTTAGGCGCCAGTTGCGATGATCTTTATTGATCGATCATTAAGTATAATTTATTTTTAACCAAATATTTAAGTTTTTTTTCCTCAAGAAAATTAACTATAAATATTTATTATAATAGTATAAATAAATGATATTTTAACAATAAAAATAAAAGAATACCGTAGAAATATTAAAAGAAATATGATTTGGTTTTCAATTTCGGAGAAGCTATAAAAAGCAAAATTTACCAAAATCGTAATTTTTTTTTTTGCAATATATTTTGCTTTATTTATTTATGCCAATTTAAAATATGTGACTAATAACATATATAAAACTCAAATACATTCAATAAATAATAATATAATAATTTTATATATGTATAAAATATTGTACACATTTATTTTAATATAATATAATAACACGGCAATTATGTGGCGTCTACATTATTCACTATTTGACAATAAATAACTTGATTTGCGTCAATTTCATTTATGGTAATTACATAGTTTTTCTCTTTAAAATTAAAAAGCAAATTATCGTTGCATATATTATTTATTGGATTATATTATAAATTATGTATGGGTATATAGATATATTTAAAAAAATACAATAACTTAAGCATATTATGTATGGAACAATATGCACACTATATAGTTGCAGTGTGTCTAATTGTATTCTCATTTTATATCTTTAATATAAGAATTTTAAGAACTCCGTTAGGATTCTCTTAGAAAACCCTTGAATTCAAAGAATAATTAAATTGTGCAAATAAATAATTTGTATGACCGTCATTAAAACTGAAATTTATTTCAAAAGTGATTTGTCATTAATGTTTTTAAATACCATAACAATTGTGACATTCGTTTTCTGTCACTTAAACTTCACTTAACTCAATAATCATAATATTTGATCATATTAGTAGGATATTTAAATATTTAAAATTAAACATTAATTGTTATAAATTATTAAATTTATCTTATTTTCATTTCAAAAAAAAATATTTAGGTAATATTGTTCAAATTATTTTGGAGTTTAATATTTGAAAAAAATCAAGAGACCTCTTTTACCGACAGGCGGAATATTATGCTAAATTAGTGGAGTGAGATACTATGACAGAACACTTGGTCATGAAAAACATAAACGTACACACTTTCCCGTTTTATGTATATATTTATGTAAATATAATGGAGTTAGGGAATTCCAATTACATTACCATAAAATGTCAATTGATTAAAACCATTTTTTTTTTAATAAAAAAATATAACAAAATAAAAGCAATATACTATATCTATCTACCTTGTTGTACGTTACCATTATAAACTGTTAGCACTTGTTAAATTAAAATAATTTATTCGATTTTTTTTCTAAATACAAATTAAAATCTGAAATAATCCTGGATTACTGTCAGATATTTGAAGTTTAATCAAAAATCGCTAGTAATTGTTCATAAAAAGAAGTGTAATATAGATGACAGTTCAGCTCATATTAATTTTTCAAACTTTAATATTAAAATGTACAACGCAATACCAGAAATTCTTTAGTACAATTTCCTTACTTATCAGTATTGAAATATATAGTACAATCATTTTTTTGTAATTCACAGCCGATACCGTAAAAAACTGAGTACTACCATAAAAAAAATATTTTCTCATATTAATGAATCAAATTGAAATTTTTACCTAACAGTCATAATGAAATTACCTTTCGATCTCTATAATTTTAAGTATCGATTACCAGCAATAAATTTAATAATCTTTATATCTAAAATAATTATCGTTAAAATAAATATATAATATGTTTTCAATAAATTTAATAATTAAGTTATGCACAAAACATTTTATGTTTTTAAAATGAAAACAAAAATCACTACATATTTACATACAATCACGCAAATATAAAAAAACCGTAAACATATAATAATTATATAATTTTGATTTATAAGGTCGATATAGCGCAAAACCGGTTTCTTTCAATTTAACAGCATGATATTGACAGTCAATTCAAATTAATACGTATAATTAACATCAATTAAAAATTATTAATGTTATATTTCTATATTTTTTGTAATAAAATTCTCACATAAATTTGAAATTAATTAATTAAAATATTGTTTATTATAAATTTAAATAATATATTCATGTATATTATAAAATTATTATTTTTATATATAAGTTTGTAGATGTATTTATTGTAAGTAGTTTGTTGAAATTTTACTGTTGCAACAAAAACAAAAACATTTAGAAAAAATCAATTTTATTGACTATTCATTAATAGTTCTTTAATAAAATAAAAATTAATTAGTAATCATTTATTTCTATTTTAAATTTTTACAACTATTTTAGAAATTAATTAATTGTCTACACATAAGAACATCATTAGGCAATAAAATTTTTATTGTAAAATTCACGTTATATTAATAAGAATAAATATTTTATGAGAATACTAAAAGCAACTGCAAATTTAACTAAAATTTATATTTATTAATACAATTGCCTAATTAGCTTAAATGTATTAAATATGAAGATACAGCAGCAAGGCGTAATTGTACAATATCATAAATACAAACAAGTATAAGAGAAATACTTTTTTATATTAATATGAGTTCTTTGATGTACCGTAAACAGAACCATCTACCGAAATAAATTTGAACTATTAGTTTTTTCATACATCTATTGTAGCTGAATAGCTG